CAATATTCCTATAGAACTTGGGGCACTGACAAAGTTAGATTCCCTAGATCTGTCAAACAATAGATTGAATGGGTCGATCCCAACGTTTATAGGAGATTACCAGCACCTATTTCACTTGAACCTGAGTTGTAACAAGTTTGGGCAGAAAATTCCAAAGGAGATAGGGAGGATAACTCATCTTAGTGTACTTGATTTGAGCTATAATCTTCTTGATGGAGAAATACCTGCTCAGTTAGCTAGTTTGCTGGACTTGGCAAACTTGAATCTTTCCCACAACAGCCTTTCTGGGCGTATTCCTGAAGAATTTGAAAGTTTGACCAGTTTGCAGGATGTTATCTTGTCATACAATGAGTTGGAAGGTCCAATCCCTAATAATAAAGCTTTCATGAATGCCTCATTAGAAGGTAATAAAGATCTTTGTGGCAATGTGATTGGATTCCAACCTTGCGAAAGGCCATCTTCTATTGTGAAGAAGCACTCAATGGCGAAGGGACATAAACTCATCCTCATCACTGTACTTCCTATTATGGGAGCACTAGTACTACTCTGTGCTTTCATTGGTGTTCTCTTTATGTGTAATAAAAGAAGGAGAGTTAGAGACGTTGAAAGAAGGGATTCCAGTGATGATGTTGATGGTTTGATTTCCATATCCACATTACATGGAAATGCATTGTACTGGGATATCTTAAAAGCCACAAAGGAGTTTGATGCAATGTTTTGCATCGGAAAAGGAGGATCTGGAAGCGTTTACAAGGTAAAGCTTCCAACGCTTGAGAATGTAGCTGTGAAGAGACTTCATTCTTCATTTGAGGTTACCCATCGCAAAAGCTTCATGAATGAGATAAGGTCATTGACAAGGATCAAGCATCGCAACATTGTGAAACTCTATGCCTTCTGTTCAAATGCACAACACTCATTCTTGGTTTACGAGTACATGGAGAAGGGGAGCTTGTCTGGTATTTTGAGCAATGAAGTAGAGTCCAAGAAATTGGATTGGCTTACAAGGGTGAATATCATCAAAGGTGTTGCTTATGCTTTATCTTACATGCACCATGATTGCTCACCCCCGATTGTTCATCGAGACATATCAAGCAGTAATGTTTTGCTTGATTCCGAGTATGAAGCTCGTGTTTCAGATTTTGGCATAGCTAAGATTCTTAAGCCAGACTCATCCAATTGTACTGCACTTGCAGGTACATATGGCTATGTAGCACCAGGTAAGATCTAACTTCTTATCCTTTTATTAGTTCATGAGATATTTCTGCAGAGTCTATATTGTTTCTATCTCATTTGGAACTTTATTGTTTTAGAGCTTGCCTATACAATGAAGGTGACGGAAATGTGTGACGTCTATAGTTTTGGAGTATTAGCATTGGAGGTAATCAAAGGAAAGCATCTTGGGGAATACATTACTGTGCTAGCAAATTCATCGACCAGAGATCATGTGCAGCTTAGCGATTTGCTAGATGAACGCCTTCCATATCCTGAAGATGGAGTAAAAGAGGTTTTGGTTTTTATCATCAAGCTAGCAAGCTCATGTTTGCTTGAAACTCCAAAATCAAGGCCAACAATGCACTTCATCTCCAGTATGTTGTCAATGGATCCACCTGTTTCTCAAATAACTTCTATGAAGGCGAAAAGCGTCCCCGAGATGTAAGGTGTCTGTGTATGAAAAAAAAAAAAAGAAGCAAGTTTAGACACCAAGTGGTTGTGAAGTAAGAATAAGAAGCTATTATTACTGGTACTACTATTTGTGTATTTTATTGTTAGTTATGCTTATCTAGTTTAGTGTTGTACTAGAGTGGATACAATATCAAGTAGAAGGTAATATTTTAATTTTCTTGTGCCAATAAGTGCTAATAGAAATAGTTTTATGTTTGCTAAAGATGAACAAGTTAAAGATGTAGTAATACTTGTAAGTTGTAACATTTGTATACCCTGTAATTCATTTCAAAGAATGATATTTTAAAGATGAAAATAGAGAGTATTATGCATCAAACTAACATCATGGATGTATGCATAAATTTAGACAGTCTGTAGTTGTAAAATACTGGAAATATTTCACTTGTACATGTTACTAGAGAAACAAATTTCTTTGTTATTTTTAAACATAGCTTCCGCATAAATTGCCTTACATGGAAAACCTTATGGGGCGTTAGAGTTTGTTTGAACGTGCTTATAGCTTTTGGTTTATAAGCCAAAAAACATAAGTTAGGAATTTAGACTATTATTTTTGTCTTTTAACTTATAAAAATGCTTTTAAAGGCTATTTTGATTTAAAAAACACTTAAAATAAGTCAATGCAAAAAGGCTTTTAGTGCATGTTTGTGTATTGACTTTTGGCTTAAAAAACAAGTGCTTATAAATATTTATTTTATTTTATTCAAACATTATAAAACTGTTTAAAAACCATTTTAACTTAACAAAACATAAAATATGTCGATCCAGGCTCTTTAGTCATCTTGATTTTAGTTTTAACCAAATTTGAAAGACAACATTTTGCATATTTGCTCTTGCTATTAATGAATGGTGCCCTTGTTACACTTTTCGTCTGTTCATACACTTTTCGTTAATAAATCGTCTTAAATTTATGCTATTTGTCATTTATAAATTTGCCTCTCACTTTTGGTTAATTCATACCTTTGTTGTTAGCAAATCATCTCGTATTTGTTCTTTGTCATTGATGACATTCTAACGTGAAATACCTGAGATTCTATATTCAAATTTATCCATCAATTTTTTATTAGTAGTATATTTTAAGACATTGCACACATTAGGGGATTTGTTAGTGTCAATAAAAAAAAAAAGAATACTTTTCCTAAGAACGGGATTAATATTAGATCAAAAGTGTAATGGATGGCAAAATTTGCTTCATTACATGATCAAATCTTATTTGACCCTTTCTACATCATATAATTTATTAGCTAAGAAATAGAGACACAAAATAATAATTATCCCCTGTTTCTATTTAAGTATCTTAGTTACTATTTAGATAATCAAAGAATGTATTCTTTTATTAAAGTTTTTTTCAAATACTTTCTAGATATTTTGCATTGTCAACTATTGTGTCTAATAATATTATTTTTTATGTAATTTCCTAAATATGCAAATCTTTATTTTCAAAAAATTAAAGATTTTATGTTTAGATTCATTTCGAACATTAATTAGTTCAAACCTCTTATTCTAGATTAAGATAATCTTTCTCGGAGAGAGGGAGAAATAGAATTCATGGATTTATATGCGTTTGTTATATAAAGGCAAAATGAAAAGTAAATTATCAATATAAAAATATTTATCCCTTGATAAAAAATGGCCACTAGAGCAAAGTTACCAATATTAAAGATTTTCCCTTTTTATATTTAGTTTATTTTTTTTAATCCAACTTTAGTTACCGACACTAGACCCCAATTTAACATGATTAAATATGACTTTAATTCTTAATAGTACCCAATAATTACTCCGCCACCCACCCAACCCCTAAAAGGCAATTGATGCTGTGATTTTTGGAGGCACAATATATATAATGCTATTATATATATATATTATATTTCACAAACCAAATTCATAAGGAAGAGCTTGCAAGATATTTAATCAGAAGATAATGTATACACATATTAATGGTGTTTAATTGCCTTCTTTCCCCCTAAATATCACGCTAGTTGTATAATCCTTCAATTTATAAAAAAAGAATGATATAGTTTGATTTGATATAAAGTTAAAAAAAATAAGAAGATTTATCAATCTTGTGATTCTAAAATAAAAATTGTGTGCAATGTATTAAAATATCATTTAATTTTTTGGCCTAAAATATATTATGTGAAAAACTAAAATTAAAATATTATCAAAAAAATAATTAAAATCATACCTTTTAAATCAATTAAAAGGAAAAGTAAGTCATTATCTTTTAAATGGGAGAGTAACTATTCTTGTACCGTTGTGTGCAAATAAGTCAAGTGAAGAGCATAGCAAAAATAACTATCAATAAGATGCTAAAAATTAGAATCTTATAATATGCAACAAGCACATGAAATTATGAAACGAAAAACATATGTGATGCAGTTTTTTTAATCAGTTTATAAAATTAATGAATAATTTGTCATATTATGTCTATTTTAGTTTTACTATTGAATTCTATTCATTTTTCAATATTCAGATGACTAATATTTAATAAGGGTGATTTGATAAAATTACTTTTATCAGATCATTTAATTTTTGTGTCAAGTCAATAATAAACACTTATTATTGAACCGCGTGAGCAATACTTTAACCAAAAAAAAAAAAAGAGAAGGTGAAATAAATGGGGAACTAAACAACTTTGTAGGCATTTGGTGAAAGGGATATGGTGAGTAGGGGCCACGTGTGAGAATATGTGGATCTTTTATTTAAGATCCAGAGAAAAGATATAGTACTATATTTATAAATACAATATGCTTATTCATTAAATTAAATTAACACGTACATGTGGCACGTAGTGGCATGTGATGTGGCCGGCTACTACGAAAATGATTGAAATTCTGCAATCATATTACTTTAATTTAATTAATTGATTGATCAGGTCTGATTTTTGGTTCAAATGTGAGATTTTTTCATCTTACAAATTTTGTATACTCACCGGGTTTTCCACTATTCAGTATACAATATTTTGTAAATATATACTCCCTCCATTTCATTTTAGGCAGCTCCTTTTCTTTTCTAATTTGTTCCAAAAAAAAAAAAAAAACTTAATTATAATTTTTTTTATTTTTAATAAAATAATTTATCATTACATAAATATCTAATAATTATTTTAGATTACAAATTTTATAAATGTCAAGTTATACCACATTAATGAGATGGGTGGAGTAATATGAATATAAACATAAGTAATTGCAAACATTATCAATGTACAATACTAAATATTATTCTTATAAACTCTATCAAAACGAGCGGTAATTTCAGTGATACATTCAGCTTAATTTGTTTTTTTGACACCACTCCACGCGGAAAAACTAAAAAAACACAAAAAGAGGGCCCTATTGTAGATCAAAGGTGATCTTTATGTGTCTTTAAAAAGGAAAGAAGGGAAGCGGAAAAAATTGACTCCATACTCATCACTCTGCATTTTCGAGTCTTCACAATCATATCCTCCTAACCACACACAGAAGAAGAAAATGGCAAGTCTTACAGTTCCGGCAGAAGTTCCTTCCGTCGCTGAAGACTGTGAACAACTCCGATCTGCCTTCAAAGGTATTAAAGTCAACTTATAATACCATTGGATCTCTCAACAACTTATCATAAGAATATACAGATTCACTACTTTGATTTTTCTAGCATATTCTAGATTCTGTTTACTATCTTTTGCGATTATAGAGATCTTAATTTTTTAGATTGATCGGTGATGTAAACTTCAAAATTGACTGAAGTTAAACTTCTGGAATGATCATTTTGGAATTGATTGTTGTAGGATGGGGAACGAACGAGAAGTTGATTATATCAATTTTGGCTCATAGAAATGCTACTCAGCGCAAATTGATTCGACAGACTTATGCTGAGACTTTTGGGGAAGATCTACTTAAAGAGTTGGACAGAGAACTTACCCATGATTTTGAGGTTATTTTCATAATTACAGAAAAAAAAATGTTTGAATTCTTAGTTGATCATTGAGTTTCTGAGTTACTCTGTGTGATCAAAGGCAGATCTATGACATGAATATATATATATATATATATAATAAAATCATACTTATTCTGAACCCAGTGACTCTAGATTATGGATTCAACTTCGATTGTGATCAGAGGCAGATCTATGAAAAATATGTATTAGTATGTCAAAATATGAAAATGTCTACATGTGTAATAAAATCATACGTGTTTTGAACTTACTGACTCGAGATCCTGGATTCACCGTTTTGACATTTTGATTGTATGTGGACTTTGATTAGAAATGCTAACCAACACTTGTGTTTTGTTTTTCTTGAATGCTTTTCTCAGAAATTGGTGCTAATATGGACACTGGATCCGTCAGAACGTGATGCCTATTTGGCTAAGGAAGCTACTAAGAGATGGACAAAAAGCAACTTTGTTCTTGTGGAGATAGCTTGTACTAGATCTCCTAAAGAACTGGTTTTGGCAAGGGAAGCTTATCATGCTCGTAACAAGAAATCTCTCGAAGAGGACGTTGCTTATCACACTACTGGGGATCACCGCAAGGTATATCATTCAAAGCACTCTAGTTGCAAGTAGTCTCATTTGTAGCTCTGTATCCAAGTCTTTATCAATAATTCATGAAGTTGTTGTCAAATTACACGAGGTTTGAATGGTGTCTATGAAGCATTTGCTCTGTTTTTGGAGGTCGAGAAGGACAGATAATCGACAAAGTACAACTTTTTAATTCTATAGTTCTTGTTATTGTAACATATTGTCGAGGCAAGAATGTCTCTGTGCCACATTGCAATGTAGGCTATATCTAATGTTCAATTCGAGAAGGACAGATAATCGACAAAGTACAACTTTTTAATTCTATAGTTCTTGTTATTGTAACATATTGTCGAGGCAAGAATGTCTCTGTGCCACATTGCAATGTAGGCTATATCTAATGTTCATTGAACTCCATGCTTGTTTGGATGAATAGTGACAGTGAATTAACTTTGGGGATTGATCATTTAAGTTTCCAACTTCTTTCAGCTTTTGGTACCTCTTGTGAGCTCCTACCGATATGGAGGAGACGAGGTGGACTTGCGCCTTGCTAAAGCAGAATCTAAAGTGCTGCATGAGAAGATCTCCGATAAGGCTTACAGTGACGATGAGGTCATTAGAATTTTAGCCACAAGGAGCAAAGCGCAACTCAATGCTACTTTGAATCATTACAAAGATGAATATGGTGAGGATATCCTAAAGGTACAGATGCATGCTCCATTTCTTTCAGTCATACTTTTTTCTACTGTTGGACTGGCTTTTTATTTCTGCTATATTGAATTATTGAGTTCTTTTGTTAATGAGCAGCAATTGGAAGATGAGGATGAGTTTGTTGCACTATTGAGGGCCACCATAAAAGGTCTTGTCTACCCTGAGCACTATTTCGTGGAGGTTCTTCGTGATGCAATTAACAGGAGAGGAACAGAGGAAGATCATCTGAGCCGAGTTATTGCTACAAGGGCTGAGGTCGATCTGAAGACTATCGCTAACGAGTACCAGAAGAGGGATAGCATTCCTCTGGGTCGCGCCATTGCCAAAGATACAGGAGGAGATTATGAGAATATGCTGGTGGCTTTACTTGGACAAGAGGAGGAATGAGGAGGCTTGGCTCACTTCTGTTTTATAATGACCAGAATAAATATGCCATCTCCCATATATTTCAGAGTTGGCATCTGTTTGATGATTGAGTGTGGTCTGTTTCACATGAGCTTTTAGTCCTTTTCTTCGTGTGAGAAACTTTGAATATGCATCTTTGTGCTGTCTAAAAATATTTTCTAATAATTTGCATTAATTACTTATCATCTTGTATCCATTACAATATCTTCAACTACGCCTCAGTTTCAAGCAAGTTGAGATCTATCAATGTCACTTCATTTAAACTCGTCTTACTTCAATATATGCATATTACAAGAGAAAGCTAACCCCTTGATGTTAAAAACACCAGATAAACATGAAAATCGTAACCAGCAACAGAAAACAGGAACTTAATAATTAAAGATTAGTCGAAAGACTGTCATCATCCCTTACAATCTTACACATCCAAAAGTTTGAGCAAAAAAAAGCATCATACAAAGAAGCATCAACCAAAATTGTTGCATGACATACAACAGTCTAATATGTTACTGATCACCTTAATAGGATCATAGATAAGATACATTCCACATCCAGTTACCTAAATAGATAAGGTAATAGTAAGAGAACAACAACATTTTACTCTCAGTTGGAGCATTACTTCTTCAGTAGTCGACGAGAGAAGATCTTCTTGCAGTATGGACTGGTGCGCAGGAGAAGCATGTGAGGCCGCACAGCATGAAGCAACAAAGTTCGAACCGGTCCCTGATTCAACGTAAAAGGTACAAGGAATAAGAATGAAATTACTGAAACAGTCACCTGGTTTTGTTTAACAAATTTGCCCCTATGTAACTACTTTGAACATTAAAATTAATGAGACTTGGTCTTAACTAAGAGCTTGAAGCACCTAAGTATATGGAAACAAGAAGTTTAAAACATATAAGTGTACAGAAACATAACAAGTTCAAATGCTAACCTTAGTAACGCCAAGTGCAGACTGAATCACATAGTTAGCAAAGGGATCTTGCAGCAATTGATCAAAATGAGGTTCTGAGACTAACTCATTGATGATTTTCGATCTGCCTTCTTCAAAACACTTTAGGAGCTTTTCAATAACATGACTGCTAAACTTTTGCCTTGAGAGGTATGCATAATGCCTTTCAAACTGAGAGAGCAACATGGCAGCAACAGAGGGTATCTTTAACTCTATTATGAATTGGATAACATAATTCCTGTATCATGAGTTGAGAAAATTCCAATAAGTTTTAGTAAGGAAACAGAATGACTATGCAGGCAACACCTCATGTTGCAGCAAGGAAAAGATAAAAATGACAGAATATATAATTATAATTAGCAATGTTAAAAAAGAAGTATTTATGAAATGCAGGCATAGTTCAAGAAGACAAAGTAAAAAAGATGGAAGAGTTGCTTGTTTGTGGTGCACTTGGGGATTAAATCAGAGGCAGAAAATGTCACCATTGAACTCCCTATCATGACCAAAAAGAGAAAGAAAAGCTCCACTACCAGGAAAGTGAAGCAATCTAGACCACACATTCCTTAAGCAAATTCTGGTAATGAAAGTGCAGAAATTGGCTTACCTGGCAATATAGGAAGGAATGTATACAAGATGATCAAATGAATTTTAATGTTGTTCAGATTTTCCATTAAAAAGAAGTCCACAAACAAGCAAGTACTATTCTTCTCGGTAGTTATTTCCGAGTTTGTTGGAATCATCTTTGCAATGGATGACAGTTAAATTTGCCAATAGAATACATTCCTAAAAACTTGATAGGATATACAAAACCATAAGAGGCCAACTGCTGAGCCATATTCTATAAACAGTCTCACACACTTCCATGAGTCTGCTGGCATTTGATCACTGCTAATCTATATCAAAGAGGCTAGTGCCTTAAATGTGGTAACATGGATTATTTGACATGATTCTGGAAGAACATAACACTTACAAGGGTGCAGATAACTTGGAAGTATGCAGGCATGTTAAAATTTTCCAAAATTCGAACAAGTAGTACGACACATTAGAACAGTAGAAAGACACTACATGCTGTCATGTGATACTAAACCAGAATTAGCTTCTTTAGCAAGAGTCCCTTTTGCCTCTAGATTATCTTAATAAGTCTCTGAGCTAAAAGATCAATAAAGTAAAGAACCAAAGTAGAAGTTCTGAAGTTTACCCAAAAGGATCTTGAGCAAGCTTAAGCCCATTAGAACAAATCTCAACAAGCAACTTCTCACGTTGCTTCCCAGTTGAATAAGTGATGCATTTATTCAGCACGCAGCATCCATAACGATGTGTTGCGATATCAACACAATGCTTAGTCGCGACATCAAAAATAAGCTGCATAGTGATTCAGTGGACAGACAAATTTCAGAATAAATAATGAAATACTTTAAAAGCAAATCATCTTGAGTAGATATTATACAGAAATAAAAATGTCAATTGGTTTATGTGCACAACTAGGGTGATCTCCCCAAGATACTTCCCATCCATGTAGATATTCTGTTCCAATGAATATTGTCCAACAACAAAAAAAGGCCCACATTTTCTGCTTCAGATATGGTACATCCCATGTGATAAGAAATTAAGTTGATGTTGAAAGTAAAGAGGTACATATTTTAACCGAAAATCTTCAAGGTGTTGAAACTATCAACCTGTTAAGCAAAATACCTGAAGAATACATATTTTAACGGAACATCTTCAGGGTGTTGAAACTATCAACCTATGAAACAAAATACCTGAAGAAGAAAGCACATAACATGCAGATAAACGATTGCCACTTCTTTCGCCTTTCTTTATGACTAGAAGTAATCCCATTTCTTTGTGAATTTAGTGTTTATTGCTTTCTAAACTTTGTCAAGCACACACAGTGCCAACATGTACATGTAATGTATACCTACTTAACCCCATCAAAGAAGTGTATATATTCATCACGTCAAATGAAAACCTTAAGGCCAAATACTAGCTGTGCATGATAGGAAAACTTAATCAGATTAGATACTAAGAATAATGGAAGCTGAACCAATTGCAACAGAATATCTAGTACATTAGAAATGTATCAAGAGTATTTTCCCTCTGCTTCTCATTTTCAAGCTCTAGCCTGACGTTCTTATGTTGTTAGGATGACAAATTTTGTTTAGTTCCATCTCGATGACTCTGCAGCTCCATTTATCCTCAAGGACTCAGTGATTTTCTGAACAAACATCTGATGCTGACATGCAATATTTTGGTGTTTGGTTGTAGCATTGGTCAACATGTGTATTTCCACTCCATGTTTAAGTGTGAAAAACAGCTGAATGACTCTCTAGAACCATCAAGTCAGAATGTAAATTAAATAATACTGCTTTTAAGAAACATTTGTTAGCTAATCTACTGTGTTTCATGACATTAGCTTTCCTTCAAGTTGTGCAAATAAAAAGGTGGTCTAATATTAAGCCAGAGAGAGTACTCCCAAACAAGTAACTTAGGCATATGAATATATTTATGTTTATCAGAATCTCCACCTAACAACTCCATTTATGTTCAATAAGAAAATGATGGCACACCTTGTTGTGATCCTTGCTTAAACAATGCAAGCAACGCTGAACCACATGATTTCCATTGACATCCATCATGAGATTAAGAATACCAGGTTGAAGAGCCCTTATAACTAAGGAAATTTCCAGCCTGGTCTTAATTGTCTCAATTAACTTTTGCACGACACGGGTCCTGAAACAACGAAATGATTGCAGCTTAGTTAAAACAAATGACAGTTTAAGAATCAATAATATAAAAAAAGATTGAGCAGAATTTTGCTGTTTTTACCCATGTGTTGTCCTAGATGCTTGCACAAGCTCTCCTAGATCTTTAGTCACCATGAGCACAAACTGCATTCTCTGCTCATCATTACAGACAGACAATAGTTTCTGCACGAGATAGTTCCCAAATGGATCCTTCATTAACTCAAAGATATGATGAATGATGCCATTGAATATTATCTGAACATCTTCAGAGGTCCCTTCATCAAATATCCTCTGTAAATACCTACACCCCAGCTGATCTTTTGCTGCCAAATACACATGGTTCTGTTTATTTCCATCCTTTAAGGCCAAATCATTTCTACTAGCTCCTCTTACTTGGAATCCAATCTCCCCTAAACCAACTTCACAAGATTCTCCAGAATGCAATAAGCCATTTCTCGCCGGTTTCTTCTCTTGCAACCTTTCCATTTTAATCTCACTCCTTGTTTTTTTCTTCTGACCCTTTAAACCTCTCTGCTCAGAAGCATATTTTAAGCATTCCCCTTGCATAATGAAGCTGTCTTCACAACTGTAACTATCCTGGCTTCTTGAATTTGGCAATGGGGATAAAGGGTGATTCATTATGCTAGTAGGCATTTGCTTTGCAATGGAACAATCACATTCAGAACTTAATCCCATCAACTGAGAGCAATGTAACGAGCTAAAGAAACTCCTATCAACACCAACATCATCAAATCCAGTGTGCTCCGAGTATCGAAGACCCTCGTTACTACAAGGCCTATTCATGTTACACAAGTAATCATAGTTAATTTTCTCTTTCTGATACTTACAGAGGTCTCTAGACAGAGGATTAAGATGAATAGACCCCATTGAATCACACAAATTCTCTCTCCTATGGCCTAATGCTCCTCCTCCTGCTGATCCTTGAAAATCACAAAAACCATGATGAGAATTTCCTGTTCCATTGAAGAAATGATCAACCTTATCATCAATATTCATCCCATAAAATCTCTGAGACAGGCCTATATCAACAACTTTATCAAAATTTTGGTCATTAAACATGTTAGAAGACCAACCAGAACCTCCCAAGTGTAGTGGATGATGAGTATTATCGAGTACTCCTCCTTGATGAATATTCTGATCAAATACATTCCAAGATTCATCACCATATAAACCAAATCCACCAGACAACGAACTCGAACCCGAAGACGAAAACCCCATCATCGTGGTCGCATCACCTTGATCATGATACTGATGATTCAAATACGAAACGTCTTCCTTCAACATCCACAACATTTCTTCATGACCCTTCATATTTCCCTCAATGCCCTTCTCTTTACCTCTATACATCACAACCCAACACTCTTTTACAAGCTATATTATAACATAAATTACACGTAGGACTATTGTAAGACGTAGAACAGAGATAAATCAAGAAACCCAGTAATTAAGACACCCAAAACAATACATTCATATCTGTGATATGTTGGAGAATTTTAGGTACAAAAGATTAAGTTGGTCATTGGGAATTAAAGAAGATCTTTGCTCTGTTATTTGGGGTTTTGGGTTTTTGAAGAAGATAACAGATGGGTATTTGGTAATGAGTGGGAAGAAGAAGAGGACAGTGCTGGTTATGGTTGTGCTCACGCCATTAAAATGAAGAGCAAAGTTTCGCAGTATTTGTATTGTATGTACTCAGTAATCACACAGCCAGTAGAAAAAGGGAAGAGAAAGAGAGAGAGAGAGAGAAAAGGGTGGCTCTGAATCTGACAAAGCAGGTTGTTTTTTTGGTAGGGTGTGTTTGGTGTCAAAAAAATTTTGCTAAAACATACGTCTTCTAGTATTTGATACTCAATTTGATATGCAAGTAATTTTATTTTATTTTATATGTAATTTAATAAAACGTTATGATGTTTGGATAGAAAAATGGGGGTTTGGGGATTACAAAATGGGATTAGTGATCAGTTTTGATTGTTCCGCCTCTTTATAGCGCTACGATATCTGTAGTTATCGAGCAGTGTATCTTGTACGACTGATTTCTCCAGATAGAAGTTGTGTAATGGTTGAATTTGAGGATCCACAATTCCAAATTTCATATTATTAAAGAGCTAATGATGGGGCAGATTGGGGTTAAGAGAGCTCGGAGGGTAGCGTTTTAGTGTTTGATACGCAAATAAAAATATTTATTTATATGTAATTTAATAAAACATTATGTTGTTTGGATAGGAAAATGGGGTTTCGGGGATTACAAAATGGGATTAGTGATGAGTCTCGATTACTCCGCCTCTTTGTAGCGTTGTGACACCTGTAGTTGTCGAGCGGTGTATTTTGTCCGACTGATTTCCCCACATAGAAGTTCGTGTAATGGTTGGATTTGAAGATCCACAATTCCACATTTCATATTATTTTGAGAATTAAAGAGCTAATGATGGGGAGGATTGGGGTTAAGGGCACTCGGAGAGTAGCTTTATGTAAGTAATTTTTATTTATTTATATGTAATTTAATAAAACATTATGATGTTTGGATAGGAAAATGAGGGTTCTAGGATTACAAAATTGGATTGATGATCAATTTTGATTGTTCCATCTCTTTGTAGCGTTACGACATCAGTAGTTGTTGAGCGATATATCTTGTCCGACAGATTTTTTCAATAGAGAAGTTGTGTAATAGTTGGATTCAAGGATCCAAATTTCATATTATCTTGAGAATTAATGAACTAATAATCGGGCAGAATGGTCGAGAAATAATGTCCTTTGCACCAAACACACCTTTAGGGTCATCTCTTATTCTAACTTTTTTTTCTTAATAATTATGGAAAAAATAAAAGAAATGATTTTTTTTTAATTGATGGTAATTGCTGAGAAATTACGGATACTATAATTTAGATTTAACTAGTTTTAGTATTTCTTAACCAAGCTTTGATTTTTCAGTTATTATACTATGTTTAGTAGCTACTCTAAAGCCTAAGCTTAATCAACTCTTTTAACCGACTTGCTATTTTTTCTCCCATCAAGTGAAAGAACAAAAATTGCCTTAATTATGTCTTAATAATTTAAAATATGTAGGAGATTATTGTAGCCAGTAAATTTATTTGATCTTGAAAATTTATATCTCATAACATGTTTGACCAAGCATTTAATATTTTCTTATTTTAGAAAATATATTTTGTAGTACTTTTCGAAAAAGTGCTTCTACAAAATAGTATGTTTGACTAACTAATTTGAAAAGTATTTTTTGTTAATATTAGACAACAATTTACGTCGATCATGGTTTTAAAAGTGTATTTGAATTCTTTTTTTCTTTTTTCTTTTTTGCTTTTTCTGCTTTTAGGAATAATAAAATTTTACTACTATTCAAAAATATTTATTATTATTTTTCTAATGTGGTGAAACATTTTAATTCTCTAAATAAATAAATAACTTTCCAAAACTTAGTTGTTAGTACCTTTGATTCTGGATCTAATAACTAAAAATCCGTTAATAGAAGTATAGAACCTATCCTCCTGTAAAATCTAATCATAACAAGATTTTAGTTAATTGTTAACAAAAATCACCTTATTTAATATACATTTGTGTGCTTTTATTTGTCTACTTGATAATAAATTTACACTTAATTGTTTAAATGTTCAAAATCTAATACATTTTTTATGTATTCCTCTTGAAAAGTACGAAAACAAGATATCATAGTGTTAACACTTAAAAAACGAAATGAAAAATTATATGTACCCTTCTCTTGAAATTACTCAACATGATAATTTATTGATTTAATGATTGTTTTTATTTTAAGCGGATTAGAAATTTCATAAACAACAAACGGATAAAATTTTATTAATCGCGTTTCTTGCCAAAAAAAATTATACCTTATTTTTGGTTTTGTGAAATGGTGTGGAGTTAAGAGTAATTTTAAAATATCGGACATTTTTTTTAATATCTATATCAATAATGATTTTGGCCCAAATTGGCCAGATCTTATTTTTAGGGTTATTTTTGTAATCAAAGAGGGTTGATAAGGGTGTTGTGGTAAATTAATTATTTTGCACCCAAAAACGTCCTTTAAAGTTAAACCACTAAAGAAAAGTCCTAAACTACTACTCCAAAACACTGCCCAAGAATTATAATCCCAAAAATAACCCTGCTCAAGAAATAACTTATCAAATCTAAACAACTATCAAATAGTTGGTATGTGAGGAATTACTTTTTAAATAAAATAATATGTGAGTCGTATCTTTCTCAACTTCATTTATTTCTTTCTTCTCTCCTTTTCTCCACCTTTTTTTTTTATTTTTTCCCTTTCACTTTTTTTTAATTCTTCTTTCGATTAATTTTTCAAATCAATTTTTTTTAGTCATGAAATTTATTTATCTAATTATTATTTTTTATCATACATGCATACCTTTTAGATACATTTATTTTATTTTGATTTTTTTTATCATATTAGAAATATAAGAAAGAAAAATGGGGGAGAAATTACAAGATGTAAAATTAGATATTTACCTATCAGATGAAAATCTAAATAGGTAATCAATTCGATTATTAAAATTTCTTATTTGAGATGTGGAGATTATAATCTAATTTTTATGTATTACATCTAATACAATTATGTTGTTCTTATGTTCCTCCAAGACATGAGGTCCTACTTGCCCAATAATTTTATAATCCTTGCATTTTCTTGAATATGTAGTCATTTATGTGTGTACTTTTGAATTTCATAACTTGAGTGAATTACTACACTAACTTGTTGTGCATATGCCTTTGTATTTTTAATTTTTTATATAAAAAAATATAGTTTAAAATAAATAATGATTTAGGTGATCATTTAGTTGGTGAGATAGAGATAATAATTTTAAGATAAAATTTGAGACTAATATTATCCCGATTTAATTTAAAATATTAACGAATTGTGAGAGTTTATTCTACTATTTATATTAAAATGGTAAAAATTACTACCTTATATGGAAGATACAGAAGATGAGATAAATTAATCTTTCAAAATATTTCACCATTTCATTCTAACATAGTAAAAGATATCAAATATTAACAATAAGAAAAAAGAGGAAGTAAATTACTCTCGTGAAATCAAATTACACATACATAATTTGCAAAGAAAAAGTCAAAATTAAAGGTACAAATTAAAATTATATTAAAAAAATGCCACAAAAATTGATTGAACGGACCACTGATATTTAGTATAATTATACACACATATTATCATATTGATATATTATTTGAAGATAGATATTATGTCAATATTCTAAAAGAAAATATTAAAAAATAAAGATTGCAACTGGAGAGAAATTATATATTTATTGAAAAAAAACTATTATAATTATTTGGCACTAACCAACATTAAGTTTCTTCGAAAACGACTATTGCTTTATTATATATGGACAAATCTATATAACTTAAGCTGAAATGCAACTTGAGGGAAATAATGCATTCATTGAAGTTATTATAGTCGGTAGAACTTCTCTAAATTAATACTCAATAAATTTATAATTTCTTTAAAATAATATTTTTTTTGATTTTCGGTTTAAGTTAGTAATTGATTTCAATAAAATAATATATTTTTAGAAGACCTCTATATAAATATATGATTTTATTAATAATATAAATTAATAATTATAAATTATAAAAAAAAATTAAGATAATTTACTGAAATATAATTCTAATGTTTTTTTTAATTTTTTATTAAAATTTAGATCTAGTTGAAATTATCTCTAACTTTTCTTATTGCATCTAAAAATTTCGATATTGTCTTCTCGAATTGTACCAAAAATTATGAAGATCTCTAGTAGTGATAAGTGTTTCCTTTTGTGTGACTGGTTCAAAGGTATTGTATCGTCTTCAACGTCATCATGACATTGTTTTCTTCGATGATATCTACAATTTTTCTAACCTCTGAACATCTAAATATGTAACATTTTCATCCATATAATCTAATAGACTATTGACATCCATTTTATTGTGGTAGTTTAATCGAAATTATTAATCATGACGTCAAATTTATGAATATTGTTTTCACAAGAGAGCTCATTTGAATTCCTTGAGACTTCATCCCCGGACGATGTAATCAGAACTAGCCTACATTGAATTTCAAAAATATTTAAATTAGTATTTATAATTTATTGATTAATTAATACCTCTACAAAATAATAATATTTATAATTTCAATAATATAATATTAATTTAGAGAAATTTTACTGTAATTATATTTCCAGTTGAGGATAGTACAACTAATTCTTATGGAATTCAATATATTTAATGAAACCATTATTTTTTCGATTAAATTATTATTTTATAGTATTGTCTTAAGAGTGTTAATTGTGGGGTGAAATAAGAAAAATTTATTTAATTTTATCTTAATTTATTTAAATTCACACCGCGTCATATCTATTTAAAAAGAGATTGTTCTTTAACCATATTCTTTTTTCATATTTCTTTTTTTTTATTAAGTAGTAATCATGATTGAGGCACCAATGCTAATTATACAGAGAACTACCAATCCAAAACACAATTAGTTGATTAAATTTATTTATTTGATTTCTTCATTCAAATTATTTTCTTTAACACCTTTACCTGCATTTTTCTATACTATATGTATCAAAATAATATCTGTTCCAATTAATTTCAAACGAAAAAAGGGAGTACTTAAAATGGAAATTTTGAGTGTTCATTAATGAAGGGGACAAAAGAACAAAAAGGACACAGCCTGATTTACTGGGACAGTTAATAATTCAGAGCCT